TTCGATCTTTGGACTCTTCAACAAAAAGTACATGGAATATAACTAATGATGTGTTTTAAAACCAGGAAGAAGCTTACTGTGTAAGAACCGGTGAACCAAAGTTGTAGTTAAATTATTTAAATATTGTGCCTCAAATCTTGGTATTGGATGGAACCGAAACACTTACGGACATGTCGGTATGCCAGAAAAACAAAAGTGAACTAATCAGCATTCTGTCATTTTAGCAAATTGAAAAAACTAACCTGTTTTTTTCCAGGAAGTACAACTTTCCACTTAATCCATTAGACAATCCAAAGCAAGCATTTGCTGCTTAAAATGAAATACATAAATAATTACAAGTGCAAAGGAAGGAGCACTCTGTTTAAATCTTACCATAGAGGAACATGTCTTGAAACTTATCATGAAATTAACATACACAAATGAAGAAACTACTGGAAAAGTCTTGGAAGTGTTGCCTCTTGAGGCATTTGATTGCCTATGAAAGACATTTTTAGGCACTTGCAAAGAAATTCTTCTGTGGAAACAGTGTGGCGTAAGGGCAGCAGATGTACGTGATTTGCTTTTCCCAGTCCAAGAGGTCTGCAGTTGCCCTTTCTTGCACAAATTTATTTGTGGTTAAATGACTTCAATGGGCAGGGTGAGGGTGAAATGATAGTTGCTGAATCTCCTGTAGCCTGGTACTTGAAGGACCAGTGTTTGCAGATCTTACCGTCTGCCCAGTAGTCTCTACAATATAACTTTGCCCATACTGGTGTTCTGGTGTTTTCCCACCCTGCCCCCCTCTCTGGCCTCTGTGCAGTTTTTTGGCTATTACACAAATCATGACCTTTTTTTCCTGTTTTGTCTTCAGTGTCTGTTTCCTGTTTTCTCCTTCCCTTCCCCACCCCATTTTTTACTCCTGACTTCCTCTCCAGTGGTGTCTACTATCTTTCACTGTTCACTCGCTTTTTCCCAAGTTTTTTGTTCATAATAAAAGGAAGAATTAAAAGCTATAAGATCAATCCTTCCCTTGTATTGTGTTTCTTTATCCACATTTGTTACTGAATTTATTGAACATTAATTTGCATGTTGTTCATACTGTTTCCCAAAACTCAAGGCTATCATGAAGATGTATTTCCCCCATCTGAACACAGACACACAGATGTATACATTTTGTAAGTGCCAGAAGTTTCTGTCTTTTCATTTGTTGAGGCTCATATGGTTAGGCAGACTTCTTAGACCAGCACATCCCAGACTTCATTCAGACCAGAGCTCCAGTTCTTGGTCTCTGACATCTCAATTTAGGAACTATTGTTCAAGTGATCTTGATTTCTGAGAGAATATGATGTAATTTTAAACAAGAGTCTGAGTCTCTTGTCCTTTCTGTTAATACATGCTTCCTAATTGCTTCCACACAGGAATATGCTCTTGCAAAAAAAGAACAGCTGTTAACCACTATACCATGGTCAAGAAAACTTGAAATTAGTTTGATCTGTTTATATGGTTATACAAACTTTCCCTTTCTCATTGCTTTATATTTCAAAGTACTTCAGAGTTAAGGAAAATTTAGATAGGATGGGGAAATCCACAACTGTGAGCTTAAACATGGTCTTGGATCTAAGATTAAATGCTGGAGAAGTGTACCCACAGAGAACATGAGGGTAAATATGCTTTCAAGCATTTGTTCAGTCAACACGTAAACTGATGAACCCAAAAGGAGTCAAAAAACCCCCCAAACCAATGCAAGTTGGGACTTCATTCAAACAAGTAAGTCTTTTCAGTGTGGAGTTCATAATGTTGTGCTACGTTTGTTTGTGTAATAAAAACTGTTAGATGATACATTGCTGTCAACTGTTTGCCTAGGACTGTTTCAGAGCTTTGAAACTTCTCTGCTTATATACAATGAGAACTGAAAATGTGGCCCAAGAAGGCAGAATAAAGCCTCTACATAATTTGGCCTGAAAGCTGACTGTAATAACACGCCGTCCCTATTTCGATGTGGTCATTAAAAGGCTTTGCTGCAATGGGTGAGGCTGCTTTGGTGAACTGCAGTTTGTGATGTATATTTATATGGGAATGTCATTGCAGTTGTGGCTTGGCAAGTCACCATCTGTCTTTTCCTTGTCTACAGGGCAGTTCTAAATACTCCTCCCCACCTTGTTCCTGGTGTTCACAAACGAATTATTCTTTTAAATCTTTCTTATCTGTCATCTTTCCCTAACTCTCCAAAGAAAACTTTGTTTAAATAGTTACTCCCTTGGGACCTTCATGCATATCCTGTTATCTGTTTTATATTACAATCTTTCATGCTGGGAATGTCCTTCCAAAAAGCACAAAACATCTAAAGCACTTAGATGACTAACAAACATGTTAAATGCTGAAGTCCAGGCAGAAAACCAGCATTATTAACATAAAATTATCTTGCTTTTTTTCCCTGTTAGTATTGCTGGACTTGTTTCTGGCCTCTAGGGTATCATTTCACTTTGTCTAGCCCAGAGATGTTGCAGTGGTCGAAATGTTAGTGGTGAAGCCATTGCCGTGAAAAGCAGGAAACTTAGAAAGCTGCTATTTTCACTCTTCTAATCAAATACCAGCATTCAGAAGAGCCTATGGGAGCCATGAAGTCTTGGCTGCCAATTTTATTTGCTCAGCTAAGAGGCATCTCTCCTTCACAGCTTTTTGTTGCTTGGGGTTGGCAATGTTGGGCTCCCACGGGAGCAGTAGATGCATACTTTCCCGAAGAACAGTGTTATCTGTAGTTTCAATACTTCATTATATATTCCAGTAAACATAAGTGTTTAGGAAAATGTTTGCAGTGTTCTGCTTTATATATATCATTTTAGGTGTGTTATAATTATTCGGGGGGGGGAACCTTGGGCAAATTGGTTTTGTTCTTTCAAGGGAATACTTCTGTTCCAGTAGCACGTGAAAGACTCAGCTAGCTTGTGCTAGCTGCAAACATGAAAATGAAAACTCCAACACAAGACATTCAGTTGGCTAACCTCTGAGGTTTGGAGAATGTGGGATAGCTGGCAGCAAATACGGAGTAACATTTGTTCATTGCAGCAGCAGTTGTGAATTAACATGTTTAAGTACTCTATTTTTCATTTGTTTGGTTTTTTTTTTTTTTTTTTTTTTTCATAAAATATGCTATACAGTTAATAGCCTGGGTTTGTTGACTTGCATGTGTGTCAAGATCCCTTCAGGTCCTTCAACAGTTGCTCACATACTGGTAGCAACATACACAGCAGAGAGCTGCAATTTACCTTCAGAAATCCAGAAATACTTCACTATATAGCTTGAATCTTTGCACTTATTTGGAATTTGGATTAAGCTTGTTGAAGATCAGTTGGTACAGATGCTATTTATCCAAGTATTTGAAACTGACTTCATTACTGATAGGAAGTGGTGGCAGCATTGTTTTTTGTATTTCAAGAAAACTGACATTAACAAAAATAGTAGTAGAATCTTCTGCATCTGTCACCTGTATAAAACAATTTATAACGTCACTTTTTTCAGAGTTTTTATTTCCCTCAGTAATATGCAAACATCAACCAGTGTTGCTAAACTAGCTTGCCAGAGAGAACTGTTCTGTCTGTAGTGCTTATATTTGACAACAGCAAAAATATGAAGTGCACTTTAAAGTTGAAATACAGAACTGATGTTGCTGCCAGAAAAGGCACTTCTGTGGCTATGTTTACACCCTGAAGCTTTGTAAACAATGTTTGTCTATTGAACTCTACTCTTGTACATGACAACAAACTGTCTTAATGCATTTGTCAGTTGGTTTCTGGCTATTGTTCCTATGTTGGATTAGCTGAAATAAAATGCTAACAGGCATTTTGAATGTCATCTCAGTAGTGTCTGCAGCTGTATGACATTCAGCATTGACATACTGGTGAAATAAAGTTAATGGTTATATCTGCTTATGAAAATTACTTGCAAATGTGTCCTGCTTGTAGGGGTCTGTCACTAGTGCTCTACCAAAAGCACAGATTAGTTGCTTCTCATTTATTTTTCCTGACCTTGAATCCTGGTGTTGTGGTTATTTCCCTCTCTTGCATGCTGTTGTACATTTCCTAAACATGTGAGATGGTAATAATTCTCTGTATGACTTCCACTGAAGAGGAAATAGATACTTGTCAAAACAATGATGTGCATCTGGGATTCCAGCATCCAGGAGCTTTATTACATTGGGGCCTCTCAGTTTGCAGTAAAAAAAATTTCTCAGGTACTAGTATGCTTTTTCAACCTGAGTTAGAAAGTGCTTTGATTAACCATGTTTTTGTAAGTGCCTTGGAAGCATACTTTACACAAGAGTAAACTTAATTTTGTAAGTATAAAAAGAATCTTTTGATCTTGCCCATACATTAAATGGAAAAATGAAAGCTGGAAATTAAAAACGTATTGTGGCATCTAGAAATCAATCACCTCCAAATCAGAATAAGCTAATAATTTACAGAACCCAGTCACCACCCACACCCCCACACCTCCCCCCTTCTAAACACACCCCACCCAACCCCTGTTTTTTAAATAAGAATTGGAAAAAATGTAATGTTTGCCTGTGCTTCAGTGGAGTTGTGGCACTGTTATAGAAACACCCATTTGGTGAGGTGGAATGGGGTGGAAGGAAGGGACTGGAGACTGATGGGACAGCATTGCTCAGGACAGATGAATGCTCACTGCTGTTTTTAATCTCCAAAATTGTGGTTATGATGAGGGTTTAATGTGAACAGTTAAAAACCACTGTAAACTTTTAATGTTGATTTTAAAGATAGGGCAGAGATTTTTCTCAAACTGTGTTGTTCTTAGTTTGTTGGACAGATAACAGGAAAACAGGGCTGTCTCTTGACCCATGTTCATTTTCTGGATGCTGGAATGAATTTGGAACTAAATCCCAGTTTTCCACTGAGCATGCCCTTCTCTAGCAGTGTCAGGGCTTGGGTGGGGTCACGCTTGTTCAATACAGCTTTTCAAAAGACTGTTGGATTCTCATCAGTTTACAACATTTTTTCAGCGCTGTGGAACAGCACGAAACTAGTTTGATAAACAGAGTATATATGTCCGTATGTACTCTGGCAAAGAGAGATTTCTTAATTTTAATTAAGTTGCTCTTTGAGATTTATTTGCCTTGATAGAGTATTTGTAGATTGAAAATACAGAAGGAACAGATTCCTGTTATCTCTGGATATGGTATAGATAGCACTGAGAGCTGCAGGATGTATATTTGCTCAAATGTAAACTCAAAGAAGTTTCAGTGTCTTTACAACTTGGCTACGTACTACACTTGAAAGGTAATTATATTCTGGAAAGTTTGGGTTGTTGTTTTGTTTTTTTTTTTTTTTCTTTACATATTGTATGGGTGCTGTTACACAGACAATGCAGTTCTCAATGCATTTAATTTACTTTGGAAAAAGTGTTTTCTATTATTATTTTCTGTGTTTTATTATACATTACACAGACAATGCAGTTCTCAATGCATTTAATTTACTTTGGAAAAAGTGTTTTGTAATATTATTTTCTATGTTTTATTATACCTTACACAGACAATGCAGTTCTCGATGCATTTAATTTACTTTGGAAAAAGTGTTTTCTAATGTTATTTTCTGTTTTATTATACATTTTTAGGCTGCTACCTCATGTCAGGAGACAAATTTTAACAGTGTTTAAAGAGTTCTGACTTGTTTTCATGTGCTGCAGTATCATCTTTGCTTTCTGCAGAGTTGTTTCCTTTCAACTGAATTATCCTTTAGAATGAATCCTTTTAAGTTGTATATGGATTGCAGTAACCACGTTATTCACCAGATGGCCATCAGCAGGTGTTTCATGAAAAGTTGGGAGCACTAGAGTGAGAGAGTGAGTAGATAAGTGTTGTTGTGCTGCTTTAGGACAAAAAAGATTGAGAAATAGTAATGTTTCTGTATTCTATTTTGACTTTACAAAGAGTTGAGGTAACTTCCCTAGAGTTGCTTTACAGAAATTTGACAGCATAATATAGTATTTTCACAATAAAACTATCTAGACTGCAGATTTTAGACTTTGCAATTTTAGACAGAAATAGCTCCCTCTTATTTAATTTGCTGTTTATAGCCTCATTTTTTTTTTTGTCTTCACAGTGATCTTCAGAATTACTCTAGTACTTGTCTTAAATCATTATTCAGAAGTATTTTTAAAGTTTACACCATCCTGTGTAGGGACTTGTCAGTGTTCTTCTGGTGAGTCCTGTGTATTGCAAGGAATGATGGCACATCTGCAATAATTTTCTAACACTACAAAAATTAGTTCTAGAGGCTTGATGATATTTCAATATTTATATAAGGACAAAAATGTTTTCCTAGTAATGCAGGTAGGCTTCTGTATTTGGGAGGGAAATACTGTATGCTTGCAAATATTCAGCTGTATGTCATGAATGTAAACGTGAAGGCTAACAAAATACCTGTTACTTTGAATCGTGACTTCATTATCTAGGTAAAAGGATGCTTATGTATACAGTTGCCATTAACTCTGGGGCTGCTAGCCGCCATGATGTGTGTGGAGTTCTCTGGAAACTAGATTTGATAGACAGAGGATCCTTTGTGAAGATACTGTTTTGTGCCATTTCTGCTCTTGGAGATAAGCTTAGATGCTATGTGAATATGTGAGCATATTCTTATAGACACACTCATATACATGTACACATGTAACATTGTCATGGAGTTAGTAATTCACTGGCTCTGCAATTATATTAAAATGTTATATTAATAATTCTATGAAAGCATTCAACTGTCATAATTTGGGAATTACACTTGAACCTGGAATATTGTTGCTGTTTAGAAGTTGACCTTTAAAATGTGTTGATTTTTTAGAACTATTATGGCACCATCTGCTGACCGATGTACAGACTGACAGTGACAGTTTTCTCACCTGTTTACCTACTTGCAAATAAGATTCCAGTTTAGGAGTCAGCAGGAGCAGAATCATAATGACAAAGGGTGATTTTAGTTGTCTTATGTTTGGGATAAATATTTTTAGCAGGAGATACTGTTACAGTGGCGAAAGTCTGAATCATAATACAGCTTTAGTTGTCCCATCACCTGGATTATTGCATAAGAATACTCCGTGAACCGTGAAGCTTCTTTGCAAGAAATAATTTGAGGTTGCTTTTGCCTATAGGTGGCAGAGGATTGGTTTTGGTAGTCTGTTTATCAATGTGTTACCTTCTAAGCTTACAAAGAGCCATGACAGCATGAGATCAGTTCAGGCTGCAGCTCGGGTGGTCTTGTCACAGCATGGGAAACCAATGGACTCTGACAGGTTTCTGCCCTGTGGCTACTGCTGAGACTCGCAAAAAAGCAGAGTCTGCAGTCTGTCGCTTCAGCCTATGCAGTTAACTTTGAGTTTTGTGCACAATGATCATCAGGGAAGGAGCATACTGAAACAGTCCTTCTTGTCACATTCAGTATGTAAATACTTAGGTTCAATTGCTAGAGATCATGTTTATCATTAGAAAATAGATGATTAGATTTCGTACATAGGAAATATGTTTTCCTGTGGGTTTTCTGTTGTAACTTTTTTAAACATGTTTAGTAGTCTGCTAAACTGTTGATTTTTTTTTTACTTGTCTCACCTATTTTTTCAGGAATGTGCTTAAAAATGAACTTAATACAAATTATTAGATTCAATAGTCAAAGTATATCTTTGTACATATATACAGTCCTTTGTATGTATAAATACAGAGATGATGCAATTTCCTATGGGAGAACTGGGGCACTTTTGAGTTGATGTTTGACTGCAGATACAACTAAGCCAATTTTAGGGATGTTTTTGCTTCCTTCAGGATCTCAAAGTTGAAAAATGTATTCTTTAGTTGTAAATCATTCCTTTGCACTCAGAGAGCTTTGCGCCTTTATAATTGTAGTTATCCATCTAAACAATAACTGAAAGGTGAAATTGGATTTACTTTTCGCTTTGTCTGCTAATAGAATGTGTGCAGGTTACATTGGCACTTTCGGCAACATGGTGCTGCACAGTGGTGTGCTGCACAGAACCGTGTGACACCGTGAGTTTTCTTGTTTACATACTGATGATAAAATCCAAGTTTTAAAATTTCACAGAAATGTAAAAGAAAGTTTTGTAGTTAGTACATTCAGCCCGATTTGGAGTATAAATTACTGTATTTTACAGAAAATAATCTATTTACGTTTTTTGGAAAGATCTGGATATAGTAGAAAGTTTCTCAGGTATTAATAACCTACTAGTTAATCCAGACCCTTTTACATTCTGTAAAATTTAAATGACTGTTCCAGGTATGATTTTACTTCCTTATGGCTTTTATGTCAACAGATTTTGTGTGGAAACCAGCAAGCATATTGTTCGTATATGACTTGTCCTAATCAACTCTGATATGCAGCCTTCTGCTGTGCTTCAAATCAGTAATATGACAAGAAATAAAACACTTCAAATAAAAAAACTTCCAAAAAGCAGTTGAAATACACATGACCTTCTTTCAGGTTTTCATGTATATTTTTCAGATATTAGAAATTTTCTTTGCTCTCTTTTTGTTCTTTTACGTGTACCCCATGTGAGCTTTAATATTTGGAAATGAAAGTGTGCAATTAGTTAATTTCTATGAAGACACTGATTTTTTTTTTTTTAAAGGAATTATTAATAATATGGTGATCCAGAAAACTGGACAACTTGCACAGACACCCATGTTGGCTTTTAGTGCACTGGGTTGTAATTTATTTCCATAAAAGTAGGATGCCTTTTTTTTTTTTTCCTTCTACAACATGACTGTTTCTCTGCAATTCCTAGTAGACTGATGGAGCTATAACTGTTGAAGTGATTCTGATTTCTGCAGTTTGCTGTGAATCTCAGTGACAAACTGAAAAGTAAAAACAAATTAGGATTGCCTTTTCCTACTTGTATATACTCAGAAAATGAGTAAAACCAGATCCGGAAATGTATGAAAAAAGGATTTGTATTTGTCTATCTGTGCTGATGAATAAGAAATACCATAATGGAAACAGTGAGTTAAGATGCAGATTATCAAATGCAGTGAAAAGTTTTCTATGGTTTTAGTTCAATGCTGTCTGTGATATTTGAGCCACTCGTTTTTTTTTTTTTTTTTTTTTTTCAAAATAAACTTCATGTTATACTTAATATGCCTTCTGTTTCTGGTTTATCTATGGTGGAAGGAATCCTGGTCAGACAACTACATTTCAAGAATTTATGGTAGGAACTGGAAGAAAGGTATCAACTGACAAATCTGTATATTTGAGAGGAATGAGAGTGGTTAAAAAGGAATATAGTGTTCTGCCCTACTTCCAGGTGTGAACTCTGGCCAGCATTAGTTTCTCCTCAGTGGAATAAAAAGGGGAGAGGAAGGGATGAATGGAGAAGGGAGAGAATAGCTGTTGTCTTCAGTTGCTTCCTGGACAACACCCTTGCTTGGAGAAGTTGGTAGAGTTATGATTAGGACAGGATATCTGTTCCCCATAAAAGTGGGACCTGTTTTAACGAATTTAAGTCCTCTTCAAAAATTGTGAGGTTGTTTCCAGTACTTTTTGCCCTCCCACCCCTGCCTTGGTCCTTGCAGTTTGAGTAGACATTTGGTCTGCATGAGGCAAGTTTTCAGGAGGATTACAAAGGATACAGATGTTATCGCTATTAGTTTAATATGCATGGGTTTAGTGCTGATTGCAAAATCCACCAGTTTTGGGGTTTGTTTTTTTTTTTTTCTTTTCTCAGACCTTGGTAATCCTTCAATTTCAGCATCTCCATAAGGTTCCTTCTCTGTTGTCCACTCTTGCTGCAAGATTCTTACTCTGATTCTCTTTCCTCATTTCAAAATGGAATATGGATTTAATCTTACCATGCAGTATGGAAGAGGTGAGATAGAGAACCCTATCCTGCTGCATCCATTACAGAGCTTAAAATGAGAGGCAAAAATACTTAGTGTGCTTATGTTATGTAGTAAAAACAAATGAGAGTTTACTTGGGGGCAGGAAGGGAAGAAAAGTTGTTGTTAAAGTTTAGAACTGTAAACTTTCAACCTAATTTGGTTTATTTCTTCCCAATCTCATTTCTGAGACAAATGCTGTCTGCTTCTTATTTCCGTTTTCCTTCTGACACATTGTTGGCTGTTAAGACGCAGGGCTGGGTAGGATCTTGCAAGGACTCCCCTGTCAGTGCAGCAAGGCTTCAGGAAAAAGCCATTTCCAGATAACCTGGTTACTTGTTTTGCTTGATTGTAGTGAAGGTAAAATCAGAGACTTTACAACATGCAGCAGTAGACTCTGGTAGCAGAACTCCGATGTTTTGTCCCCTGCTATCTCTGCTTTGCCTGTGAACTACAAAACTGGAGGATCTGACAGGACATTGAAATAGTGAGTAAAAAGGGATGGGAGTGCAGGGAAGGTCAGGTAGACCGGATTTTGTTTCTCAAGTGATACCTAATTCTTGTGCCGAAATGAAACTCTAGAAAAAAGAAATATATCAAGCTCATGTGGTAGAGAAGGTAGATATTTTGGGAGGACTATGCCTTACACTCCTGGTCAGTGCCCTTGTTCATTAAATTCATCAATCTCTTAACAGCTCATTCAGAGACTACTGAAAGTATGAAGATACTGCAGGCTTAGCCAAGAGGTGTGTTTTATTTCATAGGTTTTTCCTCTATTCCTCATTTTCTTCCCTAGAAACCACCAAAGTTACAAGCTTGTAGGAAATTGAGCTCATGAAAGAAATCACCTGCTGTGGGCATCAAATGAAGGCATTAAATGAATGTGGACAGAGCTATTCAGATGGGGGCTGTAAACAAGTTTCCCTTGCTACTGCAGTACAAAGTCAAATTCTCCTTTTAACTGTAACTTCAATTACGAAAACCTGGACTTGGAGATGCTGAACCTTTCTTGCTTCACACTGAGCAAGTTTGTACCACCCACTGCTATCCTGTCTAAATTTAATCAGTTAAGATGTGTAACTTGGTATCCTCAGTCACTTTTATTGACATGTTTACAGGGTGATTTATTTTGCTTGGTTCTAAGGAATTTTCTGGAGATGCCTCCTGTTTGACTGTATAAGCAAAATGAGCTTAATTTTGAGAGTGGTAGATAATGAATTTTTATTAGTGTGTACATATATTTCATGCATTTCTACACATTTTGAAAAATAAAGCATGTGGGAAACAACTATTTTCATTTTCCTGTAGCTTCTTTGAAGATTTGTTTATCAAGTTCTCTTAATTTTTTTTTTTGCTATGTTTTGAGAAGAAATCGGTTCATTCGTAGAGATCCATGAGAAAAAATCACCATCTCTGTTAATAATGAAACCTCTTCTTTTACTTTAAGCAGAGTGAATCGCTGTTGTTTGATCGGCAGAAGTTTGGATTTTTCTCCCAGGGAAAGTTGCTTTTGGTTTTCTATATATTGTTTATTTTGATAATAAACTTTTACGTTATTATTATTGAGTGATATCTACCACTAGGAAAGAACAGCAGCAGTTCTGTGTAAGATACAAAGGTTATAACAAAATGTAATTTGACTAGCAGCAGCTTTAAAGCTAGCATACTAGTATGTGGCTTTAAATAGCAAATTCTTTAATGTCAACAGCTAGTCAAATGGAAACTTGCCTTTCAGAGGCATATTACCTCTGAGATAAATAATACTTAAGTATTAATACTTTATCACAATAGTCTTTATTAATAATATTAAAGATTGAAGGGTTTTATAAAAAGTGAAAGAAATAGCTACATAACTGTAATATTTAAGCTTGAAATGTATTTAGAAGTCTCTAGTATAGCAGTAAAGATACTAACTTTTCCTTTAATTTCCCCATTGGTGAGTGTTTTGTTTTAGATAGTGAAGTAACTAACAAAGAAACACCCATAACATGTAGTTACTTTTGGTCTCAAGATGCTTGCTTAATATGAATTTTGAATTTGCCTGTAGATAGTTCAAGGCTCCGATGTTTAAGTTTCATAGTGAGATAACTGTCAAGTTTGTTTCCTTTGGCTCAATACTGTCCATTTCTTTCACTAGAAAGGGTTATCTCTTGTATATTTAGGCATCTATTAGCTTAGCATCCTTATTTTTCCTTTTTTTTTTTTTATGCAACAAATTTGACTATAAACTAAAACTTAAATACTAAAGCAGTGACCTCCCATCTAAAATCAGTATTTTCTGATACTGTCAACTGTAAGCCTACTGGTTACTGAAAAGGTATGAATGATAAGGAGGATGGAAGAGTTCTATAAGGTCTAAGAGTATAAATATTTTAACTGAATCTCTTTTAAGGCAAGAATGGCTTTTCTTAATGTAAAAAGGAACAGCTAGAAGCATGTACTCTTTCTGGATTTTAAAAGGCTTTCTGTATACAACTTTTGTTATATTGATGTGTCACTGAATAGTAAGGGAGTTGTATTTACTGGTTTAACAAGGGAAGGCAGATGCTATTCTGAAATTTGAGCTTTTGGGTCAACCAAGGAGCCCAGTAGAAAGAGAACTGAAGTTACTCATGAAATAATTTTGGACAATAACATCAGGAGTATCTTAAAACAGATGTATTTCAGTGAGCACACTTGAAATTTATCAAGGAGAGGAAAACTGTTGGTAGATCTATCTCTCTAGAGTAGTGTTTTTGAAAATCTTTATCTGCAGAGCAGTAAGTTTTAGCTTACTGATTTTACTTGTGAGCTGATAATTTGAAAAGAAGTTTTTCTTTAACCCTTATAAGTTTAATTTAGAAACTTCTGTAGATTATTACTACAAATCATTGCAAATAATGTAAGAGTCAGTAAAAGTAGTGATGCTACATAACAAAACTGTTTTTATTGTTGCTTCTTTTAGTGTAAGTTGTGACAATGACAACTGAAGTTGGCTCAGAGACTGAAGTAAAGAAAGATTCTGAGCAGCTGGGACCAGACAAAGCCAAGGACAAGCCCGAAGAAGCATCAGAGATTCCAGAAAATCAAAAGTCCAGGGAAACATCCTCTGAAGAAGCTCAAGATTCTTCCTCTGTCCCTGCACCAACTAGCCAAAGTAGTCCGAGTAGTCAGAAGAAGGAAAAAGCTTCAGCTGAAAGCAAGGGTATTTCTCGTTTCCTTCCCCCATGGCTTAAGAAACAAAAATCATACACCTTGGCAGAGCCCAAAGATGAGAGCAAGAAAAGGACCATAGGGAAAGAACAAGTGGTTGAAGAAAGTGAATGCCAGACATCAGAGGGGGCGGCCCAGCCAAAAAAGAGCTCAGAACAAGACGCAGCTGAAAATCAGAGTAATGCTAAAGCAGATGACAAAGAAGAAAAGCACTCTGTTAGTAGTGCTGAAACACAGGTAGGTATGAGTAGGAAGACTAATAGATGCTTTGGAGTAATTTTAAGGAGACCTGATTTATGATTTATGTAATTCATGTAAATCTTTGTTAGGATCATACTGAGGAAAAAAATGACGGCTACTTTATGTCCCTTTGTGCAGTTGGGTTGATATGAGTAGCATAGCTGATTCTAAAGGTTCCTGCTCTGTGGCAGACCATTTTTTAATCCCATCATTCTAGATGTCTAATTTTAGTGTAACCTCGCACTTTAGCATAGTTCAAAGGAACATTGAACTGTATCTGTGTGGTAGAAATGAGCAGGGATAAGAGGAGAAGCTTCTTACGCCAGCTTTGTCTCTGAAGCTATTGGATCTCATGAATAGTGACTTAACCGCAACAAATAACAGATTATCTCTGAGTCCTTATAATCTCAATTTTTGTTATCTTTTACCTAGAAACCTTGCTTATGGTCACTGTCCTTATTGATTCATTCTGGGAGGTTGGTGCTGAGTTCCAAGACAAATGCTTGGAACCATGATGCTGCAATGCTCTAGTCTTGCTTTCTGTAAAGTTGCATGTCAGTTCTTAACACTCAAACCTCGCATTCTAGGGTGACGAAGATAATTAAGGGCATAGAGAATCTTCCATGAGGAAAGGCTGAGAGAGCTGGTAACACTTAACCTGGAGAAGAGAAGGGTCAAGGAGAATCTTACTAAGGTGTATAAATACCTAAGGAAGGGAATGAAAAGGAGCCAAGCTCTTCTCAGTGATATACAATTAAACAACAAAAGGCAATGGGCACAAATTAAAAACATGAAACTTATCTCAAATCACAAAAAACTTTTTTTGTTTGTTTGTTTTTACTGTGATGGTGGGTCAAACACTGGAACAGGTTGTCCAGAGAGATTGTGGGGTCTCCATCAGTGAAGATATTCAGAACCCAATAGGATACAGTTCTGGTCAAACTGCACTAGGTGGCCCAAGATGGACCCTATAGGCATTGGACTAGATGATCTCAAGAGGTCCCTTCCAAAGTCAGTTATTCTGTGATTCTGTATAACTTGACTTTCATAAACACCATTTTTCAGTTTGGTCTAATTCCCAGAGTTCCTTATTAAATTTGTTTCTGTTAGGAAAGAAAGCCAATAAAACATAAAAAAAATTACCTTGTTTCAAGGAAACAAAAAAAAAAAAAAAAAGGCACCTTCTGTGGTTTAAGAGCAAAAACAATCTGGTCCCAGAGGAAGACCTTAACGCTTACACTGGTAATTGTACTTCCAGTATGTGCACAACTTTAATGAAAGCTTAATGTCTTATTTATTAGTAGCTTATAAAACAAATGGACAACTTAAAAATATCCACTGTCCTGAGTTTGTCATTGTTTAACTGTATTTTATATAGCCTGCCAAGGAAGATGGTAAAGAAACGGAAGTAGAGAAAGCAGCAAAGGAAATGGAAGAAAAACAAGAAAAAGAAAAAAGGGAGACAAAGGAAGTGCAGACAGCTGAAATTAAAGCAGAAAACATTCCTCAAAAGTCTCCTAAGAAAATTAAGACTGTGCAGTGTAAAGTAATGCTTCTGGATGGCACAGAATACAGCTGTGACCTAGAGGTAAGGCATCAAGTCTAAATATAAAGAGCTCGCTTTCTATAGAGAAAAAGAAAATTTGCTTTCATTGCACTGAGAGTTCAACGAATACATTTTTGTATATCTAGTGAGCTCATTACAACGTTGCATTCACATTGCTATCATTAGGGGCTAGTTAACATTTCATTTTAAAACTCCATCTTCAAGACCTTATTAGTTTATCCTTAAAAATGCACTCTGAGGTACACTAGCAAATAAGGTGAAATGCAATATACAAATACTTTCAATTGTGATTGTTTGACAGCTTAAACTTGATTTTTTTGCAAAAAATGAAGCTTTTCCTGAAGGTAGTGACACAAACTAATACAGTTGTCTTGAGTTCACTAGTTTTTATTTTTTCTTTTAAGTTATCTCAGCTGGAGATCTAAAGCGTAAAAAAAGTTGGCTTCGAATAAAAATTCTGTTACAGGTATAAAAACACATATTTGTATTTAAAGTTATGTTCTAGTTCCAAATTTTCATGACTGCACGGATTGCTTGTTTACAACTGTAAATCCCTGGGTTAGATACTGTGTATATCCTGTCTGTTAAATCATGTTTAAGATCACTAACAGAAATAGGGATTGTGAGCTAAATAGGAAATAACCTCTTGGTTTTTATGTCTTTATAATCCTTTAAATACACACACACACACACACGCTTTCAGTCTGACCATAGTGTCCAAGTTCCAAGTCAGATAGTAGTTGTTTAATATTTTAGGTCAATATGAACTTATGAAACCAGTAATTACAAAAAAGGATGAAAACAGTTGTATTCCAAATCTTATTTCAGTGAAATAACCTTTAGTTTGACATATTAGGAGAATTCTTACATGAGTAAGGTAGTAAGGTGATCTTATCAGCAGATTACTTCAGGCTAGTACTGTCTTCCAAAAGATGCCAGTCACTTCAGTACAAAGATGTGAGAGGCTGTTCTCTAATAGGAAGTTCAACTGTCACCACTTTTGCCAGTTGAAGATGCAACACTATTACAAACAGCATGGTTTCTTCAGGCACACTTTCTAAAGGGTTGGGAGTTATTTTAACTAGAAACTCCTTATTTCATGCTGGATACCCCAGAAATAAGCTCATTTATTTAATAATGGGATATGGTGCCCCCATGGAAAAAAGAGTGTTTCTTGTAGGACAGTTTATGTTGGGAAATGGTACTTCCAGCCAATCAGTTGTAAGACACATTAAAATTTACTTAGTTTTATTTGTAGTTCCCAGTAAACTTTGCAAACACCTGAAAACCATGTTCATGTTACCTGAAGACTAGCTTTGTGTCTCAAAGGTTGTGTAGGTAATATTTTCAAAAGCTCTTCCAGCTAGTAGCACTGAAGGCAGATTCTGCTAATGATGCTTGGTTCCCTTGTACAGCTGTATCTCAGTCCTAAGAAACCCTCTCCTCTTTAGCAGTTGATTTTGTAGGACAGGAGCTCTAAGCTGTTCTTCAGTTCGATTATTTGTAAACTTCTGGGAAAAAGAGGAATTCAGTGAATTAAATATCTGGTAAAGTCTGGCTTTGATGCTTCACTTGTTGCTTTCTGTCATAGTCATTTCTCCTTGCAGTTTGTCTCATTGCTGTTTGTTCTAGTCACATGAGATGTCTGTCAGGTGATGAGAAGTTTCTGTGGCAATATAAGCTGCTAGTTGAGAGTATAATAATTTTCATTTATGAGTTTGGTAGGCTAAAGGTGTGACCAAACAACATGGTATGATTTGGTATGTTTTGCAAAATGGTACCTAATATGATACCCACAGCAAGTAGACTTTTAATTCAGTATTAGAACCACAATGCATTGGTAGTTACATGGATAATTAATATTTGTTATAGAAGGTGATAGGTTTCCTCACTGAAGTCGACTCCTCCTTTACTTTTCTGCCCTATGCTTTGCACTAGAGTATCTATTTGTTTGGAATGGGTGAAAAATAGTTGTTCTGGACTACACTTGTGAACATAGTTACATTTTTGCATGATGTAACTAACTGATTAGCTGTGGTGCCCAGACTGAGTATTTGAGTTCTGAAGAGTGATTAAAATTTGTACCTTTTCTAAAACCAGACTCGTAGATAAATCTTTCAGATTGACCTAAGGACAAAACAGTGGCAATGTTGTGTCATTTCCTAGGTCCAGCTGATTCCTTGAAAACATTCCCACTTTTATCTAATATAAATTGTTCAGGTTTTTTTTTGTAGTACATATTGCAAGTCCTGTGGTAGTGTAGGCTTCAGCTCAAAGCCTTTTGTCTTCTATTGTGCTGTTTCATTTTCCAGTGTCCACCAATCAGACCCTACACTGTTTGATTGTGGATTTCATTAGTCTTCCTAGTAGTTTAATTGCTTATTGCGTACAAGTCCTCTTGTGTGCTGCAATATAATACTGGATAGATACTGCTTCCTTGTCCTTTGAGATCCTGCAAAATTAATAGTTAGAGAAGACTAAAAAAAGCCACCTGTTTTTAAGACTTTCAGAAATTTCTTCACAACTTAAGTCTTATTTCATGCATTAATACGGCTTGCTTCAAACCTGTTCTCTAATAAGACAGCTAAGAAATTCTTACTTGTTTAACAACATGAAATACTCCTTGGAAATGTTTTGCTGCAAATTTGTAGGAATTTTTAAAGTTTGTATTTTGTAACTGTCAGCAATACAAGCTTTCTGAAGCTTCCATTTGTTAAATAATTCCTATTCTTGATGTTAAAACTGGACAATTTCAGTGTATATTTTAGCCTTACAGGGTTCTTTCCCTAAAACTGTCAAATGTTAAGACTATTTCACTATAAACTAAGTCAACTGTAAAAAGCAATAGTCAAGCATTTGCTAATGTTAGTTAAGTCTACTTATTTTTTTTTTATGCTGTGTTTACAGAAGAAATATTTTTATCTGAATAAACAAAGCATGAACATGGAAAATATGCTACAGAATAATTGCTCTCCAGAACACATTGCATAGGGATGTGTATACTTATGGTCTCAAGTTGCAGGAATTTTGTCAGCTAAAAGTTCTTGGAAAGTATTTATATATATATACAGTTACATATATATGGTGAAATATATATAGAAATTATATATAAACCAAAAATTGACATAGGTGGTTACTTTTGGAGTTCTTTCTTGATTTTTCATGTAAACAGGGATGTTTAAATCTGAATGGTATCTCTGTATTAATTGAAAGCTATATGAATTGTATCTTCCTGAGCTTTTTACCTTAAAAAATGAGACTTGAAGTTGTGGTTTACCACAGAGTAAAAAAGATAACATTTTTCATTTACAACTGAAAAATTCTATTCTGCACTATGTTAAGTCTATCATGATTCAGTTAAGTTGGTTGGCAAGAAATATGTTTTCTGATCATTTGTAATAAATAAGAGTTTGCTGTAAGAACAGAAGCAAAAATTAAGGAGGGGGACAAAGTGGAATAGACACCATGTGATCATTTGAATCATTTATCAGACATCAGCAGTGCTGACTGTAAGTTAATTCGTGCTCTTAAATACATGTAGGGCTTTTTATGCTCTACTACTGTACCAAAATAGTAAGTCTTAGAAAGCTCCTTCAACTGGTAACTGAAATTTTCAGTTTGTGCTCTCTGTAGTAGTAGGTCGTAAAAGATACATTTCCTGATACTGATCTTTTCTTCAGTCTTCCTTTAATATTGTTTGGGTAAATGTTGGTTTATTTTTACTTTAGAAAGTAACAGAAATCATACAAGATTTTTAAAGCAAATAAACAAAAACTCCAGTCTAAGCACAAAGTGCAAAGCCCCATGTCCCTTGGTTGATTTCCTAATAAATCAGGTTTTAGTTTGGAGAAATTTCCATGGTTGAGAGATTCCTGATGCCTCTTCCAGTTTTTACTATGCACTGTAGACCAACTTTATTTTATTTATATTAGAGACACTTCTTTAAATATATATACTTGCTAATAAGGAAGTAAAACTGAAAAATACCTTGTTTTCATTACTGTTATTTTACAGACAGCTTTTGGTAGAACCCCTCTCTCCTTCTAATTACTATTGTAAACCTTTGATAAATCAGTAACAAAATCTGAGCTAATACACTAGTTCTTGGGGTCTCTTCTGTTTGAGTTACAATCACATGCCTTGTTTCTTGTAAAACTGCATCAATATGAATTCACATAACTTGAAAGGAGTGTGAAAGAAAACATAATATGACCCAGCAACGTTAGCTGTTAAATTTTGTCATTGCTCATTCTTACTGCATGTCTCTCTTATGCCCTTTCCCAGCTGTTGTCTTAAAGGAGATAAAACCACAGTGCAGTAGCTTCAGTGTCAGCACACAGATCAGTGCTGATAGAATTCTCAGCAGTAACTAAATACTAAACCTTCTGTGGTCAATTAGTAGATAAAATACTATACAAATAATTTGTAACAGTGGTGTAACTAATGTAAGAGGACTTGGTATTTGACTTCAGATACTATATGCCTTAGATTCACTAGAATCCTAATAGATAATCTTGAAGTGGCTAGTTATGCCTTTTTTTTTTTTTTTTTTTTAGGAAAAAACTAGAAATTGACTGCTGCACTATTCGTAGTCCATAAATTGTTTTAGTCAGGAAAAACTACTTTTCCAGCTTGATCATCTTATTAGTAAACAGTTAATGGCAAAAGCCTGAAGATGCAGTTTGGAAATTAATGGGAAAAGGAAGGGTCAGGTTAGGGAACACTTAAACTAGAGATACAAGTCCCATAGGACGTTATGGAATGTACTTATGAGCGAATGGGGGAGGTTCCTGGGATTTGGGGGGTGGGAAAGCAAATGTCATTCCTGTTTTCAAGAAGGAAGATGTGGGAAATGTCAGGCTGATCAGCCTCACCTGAATCCTTGGGAAGGTTATGGTGCAAATAATCCTTTCCAGACTTCCACAGGACAAGAAGGTGTTTGGGAGTAGTCAGCATGGATTTACAAAGTGGAAACCATACCTTTTACAATGTGGTGACTGGCACTGTGGATATAATCTCAG